CCCCTTTCTGTTGTATGCTTAACCTCCTGACCCACGCCGCGCTGCGCGTTCGTGCCCGTCAGAGGTTGTTCCTGTAAATGCTGCTAACACTCTTTTCTACCTATCAATGCAATGATACGCAAGCCTTTTGCGTATTCGCGAAAAAAAAAACATGGCACGACACTGTAAACATATCAAGTGGCATGGAATGTGGTCATGACTAATGAAGAAACTGGACTTCGACTACAACCGAACGTTGCTTTCCAGGGTAAGACTTGACTGAATTTGGTGGACTCCAATGTCTCAAAACAAACAACATAGGTCATAAAATTGCTTCCTAATTGGCATGCATATCAATGTGATGGCCAACACGCCTATGCAGCTCCATCTTCGCTATGCAGCCACGGAATATATAGATAGTTGCCATTCTCTTTGGGCATACTATTTCCATTTAGAGTGCATGTATTGCGTGTGAGTTGACCATTCAATTACAATGTGATGTTGCCTTAAAATACTAATTTTAATACTTGTGGTTCATTAGTTCAGTAATTAGGCATGTTGCCACTGGCAATGACCCTCACTCCTATTGGCGTGTCATAGAGAATCCCCAGCTGGCATGCACCAAGGAATGATGAGCCTCCGACTGAATGTCTAGAATGTGGATACCAAAGGTTGCTCTCAGTCTTGCACATCTCTGAAGTCTGAACCCAACCAATTTTTTGGGGAAATGCCCAACGAATGTGAAGGACAAGAAGGTTGTTCCACTGTTGTTTAAAGTTCAGAGTCAAGTAGTATGTCATATGGTTTTCCTAATGTCTGGTTCATGCAAGTTTCTGAATTGAGTATGTTTGGAAAGGTCAAAGTACTGGCGTTTCTTCATGTGGTTGGACTAGGTCGCGGAAATTCAGATGATAGATGTGTCCATCGTCAACAATGCAGCTGCTTGTAGCATGTCGCGGGAAATGCAGCGACTTATTGATGCTCCGTGGGCTGAATTTATTGCTATGACTGCTCAAATTGATGCTATCAGGGTTTGAGAATGCAGCAGCATTTGATAGAAGTTAGCCGCCCAAAATGCGAAGCTTCAGCTTTTATTGTATTTTCTTTTCATCATTCTTCTTAGTGTTGCTAGTGAAACTAGTAAAGTAGAATCTCTGTCTGAATCGTGGTCACCTCCTCAGCTCGCTGCTGTCGGACTGGACTAACATATGTCAGGCTGGTTGGTTCTGTTGAGCTATGTAGACTTTGTAAAAAAAAAAAAGATTGCAAGTTTGCCAAGGGGAAATCTTCATTTTGGGTAGCATTATTTGGCTCAGAATTTTGAAATGACTCAACTAGTTCAAATGGCAAATGACTAAAAAGGCAAAGAAAACAAGAGCATGTGATTTACGGCGAACTAAATCAGGGCATGTGATCTATGCATGAACGCAATATGATCAAGTCTCCTAGATGTCTTTCTCCGAGATGTCTTTGGGCAAAGATAAACGCAGTGCCAAAATAAACAAAAAAGATGACTGATTGCATAAACTCAACAACAAAAAACAGTTAACCATCCTCTAAAAAAGAACTTAATCACAGAACTACCATACAAACATTCCCGCCAAATATCAGTCAAACAAACTAGAGTAAACCGGTACTTGGGAAAATATCAACAAGTTCAAAATGCGGCATCATTTATCAGCAATCTAATTGTTACATGACACTTTTTTTACG